AGATGTCGGTCTTCTGGGTTATTGCGCCGTGTAGTCTGGTCGATGTTAACCAACGTTTCAGAGGTCATACTGCCTCCGTCACCAGGGCCCTGATGACGGAGGCAGTATGACCTCTGAAACGTTGGTAAACATCGACCATACTACACAGCGTAACAACCCAGAAATCTTCATACTCACCACTGTGAAAACCTCAAATCTTACATTCCAAGGTTTAGTTTCTTAAGATGTAATCCAATTGTGGTCATAAGGAAATAACAGATTTTCAGGAACCTGGCTTGCTACTGAAGGGACATGGTGAGCCCTGACATCAGCATAACAGTTGATAAATAAGATTTGCAACACGGATTGGTACTGTACAACAAGACGAGGCTTTGGCCACATATAAAGGCATTAAGTTGTAGAACAGTATGCATACATATGTAATAGTGTAGGAAACTTGCAACTGTAAGCACAAAATATTAAGCTGCTTTTCTCTTCTTCATTTCTTTGGCACGTTTGATGGAGTCACTAACAGACCACACTGTTTTTGGTTCTGTTCCCTCCAAATAACATCTTAAAAATGATCAGATGTATGGAAGGGAGAAAAAAGGCCAAATAGAGCTCCCTAACCTTGAACCTGGGCACATGCAATTTAACCCCTCACACACAGATAACACTACCCCACTCACCACATGAGTCAAACCAGGTACAACTAAGGCTACTTCTGTCATCACACCAACAACAAGTTAAGGCTACTTCGTGAGAAGAGGAGCAGGTTGCAAGGGGTCCACTTAGAGGCACCTCAGGCTCAGGGCAGGGAGAGCAGCTGCTAGGCTTCTAGGAAGATAAGTGCTGTTGGTTTTGGCTCCAAGTTGGACTTCTTGGCTTCAACCACAAGGAATTCGATGTCATGGCGTTCCCGCCGGGCGAATGATTCTGCTATCAGCCGTGCCACATCTTGATGCTGCAGACCTAAAACACATCATCAACTCCAACAAGTTTATGATTATTCTTGGGTTGACTCACTAATTGTAGGGCTGGGTGAGACTGGATCCTATGGTACTGTGGCCTGAAATAGGATTACTATACTAGCTCTAAGCAAAGGATTTGAAGAGAAGCAGTTATGGAGGTTCAAACCAGGATCCTCCTGACAGAGGTTTAATGATTATTGTGTTAATTAATGTGGATCTTCCACTTAATATTCTATAAGGAATGGTAAAATTATTGTGAAAGACTGAACTGGGAAGAATGTGGAAGCAAGAGATTGTGGTCTACTTATGACACTTGCCTGGAGAGGCTACGGAAAACCACAAAACCCTCAGTCAGGTTTTTCCAATCTATGATCAGGAATTTTAACACTGGAGCTCCTAAATATGAAGCAAGAGTGTTAATCACATGGCAGTGATGTGCATTCAGTGGTTTACAGTTTGTATATAATATTGCTGGGATGTACACAAATATCATAAAAAGAAAGTTCATAGCATGAAAAGAATACACTGTACTTCTGGCGTCGCAAGTCTTAAAGAAAGATAAGCCACAGAACATGGACATCACATGTAACCTGCATAACAAAATACAGGTAGGCCCCGATTTACGCCAGGGTTATGTTCCACATCCTCAGGGTTGTTAGCTAAGTGGCATAAATTGAGGAAGAGTTAAAATGTATTGTACTAGCAGTGTTCCACATCCTCAGGGTTGTTAGCTGAAGCGGCATAAATTGAGGAAGAGTTATAATGTATTGTACTAGCGGACGAGGAGAAAGCAACTGATGCCGACACTAGCGCCGTCTAGGTACCCACTTCCTGTGCTGCGTTTACGCTCACATTTTCAAATTTTTCTTCTTATATTTTTTATTTTTTCATTATTATTTTAAAAGGGTGTTAATGTTAAACAGCATAAAATTAAGTGTCATAAAGGGGGGCCTATCTGTACACCTTTCAGTGTCATCATCAAGGATGTATTTACCAATTCATGTTAATTGGGTCTAAGACAAGTAAATTGAATGTAGTATTACATTGATTGTATTCTTATTGAGAATGGTGTCTTGGTCCTTGTAATGAGAAGCAGATGAGTTCTGTCCTGTCAGATCCATGTTCACTGAAATCCTTACCCTCAACTTTCTGTCCATCCACTTCCAGTATGAGCTGCCCAACTTCCAGGCCACCAGCTTCAAATGCAGCACCATTTTCCTGAAAATACAAAATATCACTGACGTGTGAAGGCAGTGCCTAAATAACACAGAAAGGACTCTGATACCCTCTTTCATTTTAATACTTCAGTGTATAAGATGAGGGAAACATGATCTATATGTTTAAAATTCTTAATTCAGTAATCCATTTGTGCACATAATTTCCATTAATACAGATTCACCTGGATTTTATCTCGAAGTTCCCCAACATTATTATTTAATTACAGACATAAAAATGCTTTTGCAAATAGCTGCATATTTTAAATAATAAGCCCTACTGATTTTTTAAATGATATATTGGAAAGCCAATCTGGAGTGTAAGCTCATTCAGATGTTACTGCATTTAACTAAACTTCATGGTGTAGTAGGTTCTTGAAAAGTTTACATATACTCATCTACGAGGTGCGATCGTAAAGTTTCAAGACTGCGCGTATAAAAACCCGTACACTTATCTCAGGTATTAAATTCATCCATCACCCTGGACGTAGTTCCCCTGGGAGTGAACACAACGATCCCAGCGCCGCTGCCAAGCCTGGAAGCATCCCT